ATCAGGTGGTGCAGTAGGAGGTGGAGGAGGATGTGGAGGAGGCGACGGCGGTACCGTCCTTGGGGGTAGCGTGGCGGTTCCAGGCGGCGTGCCCGGTAGCACCACCCTGACGGCCATCATGGAGACTAAAGACGCGCGCATACAGACCCTAGAGAAGCAGGTGACATTGCTGGAGGCCGAGTTACAGCGTATCAAGGAGTGCGGCGGTAGACTGAGGGAGCAGTTGCTGAAAGCGACCGCCGTTCCGAGTAGCGGCGGTGGTCTACAGCATCAGCAGCAACAGTCGCAACAATCATCATCGGTACAACAGCAACAGCAACAAGCGCAAACTAATAATAATAATAATCTAGCCGCGGGAGGTATCGAATCGCAAATGCGACAGGGATTGGTGACGGCCATGGGTGGTGGTTATTCACAGCAGCCCGGCACGTTGGCCCTGGCCAGGGGACCGTCCGTGATGACCTCGCTGGTACCGTATGGTCACACGTCGTCCACGGCATTAACCAGTTCATTGCTTGCCGGTTCGACAGGTGGGACCATGAGCGGCGTAGGAGGTGGGGGCGGTTCCTCGTGCCTGGCCGGCATCTCGTCGGGCGCTACCACTGGCGTGGTCAATCCCTATACCGATCGTTACGCCGATCATCATCTCCATCAGCTTCACCATCACCACCACCACTTTCCCCATCATCATCAGCCTCATCTTCATCATCAACAGCAGCAGCAGCTGCAGTTGCAACATCAGCAGCAAATGCAGCAACACTTGAAACAAATTGAGCCAGCGGCGCAGGGCGCGCTGGCGTTGCACGCGCACAACTTCAACAAGCACGACATGAACTTCAAACGGCAAGTAAGTTTCTTCATCAACAACGTGCGCATCGAAAAGAACGACGCCGTCTAGGGACGTCCGAACGGATATCTATCGTCTGTCGCGTCATGCCGGACCTGGCGCGCCGCAGGTTCTTCCTCCGCGTGAGTACCCCTTATACACCCGATCTCTCTCAAATAGGTGTCCAGGAAGAGAGAGCAAGAAAGCGAGAGAGAGAGAGAGAGAGAGAGAGAATGCGTGTGACGAGCAAGCGCTTCTATATATGTATGCGTAAACCTGTGTGCGCGTGCGTGTGGAGGTACCTTTCATCCTTACGCCGACGAGGCAAGGGTGTCGCGCGACGATCGCGAGCAAGTCGATCGATCGACCGTGTAGGATCGACATCGTCGATACCGGTGAGAATGGGAGAGAGCGAAAGACGAACGAAGCGAATGCTTGCGACTGGAAGAGGTGTTGTGTGTCTGCCTGTTACCTGGTCACACTGTCAGAGACGAAGGGAAAACCTAAGCAACAACCTCATCGCCAGGAAGCCGCGCGACGCGCGTGGTCGTCGTTAATCATTTAGCTCGATACGTCCCGAGAATCTTTCGATTCCTTTCGTCTTCTCTTCGAACGAAAACCGTCGCGTCGCGGCGCGCCGTACGAGCCAGCCGGAACCGGAACGAGGTCCGAGAAACGAACGTCCATTTCTTTCCCGACCGCTACCGATCAAACGCACACTCGATCCAGCAAATCGTCCCGTCGGCGGCCAACTCGAACGGGGTTGGCCCGAGACGCGATACGCTTATTTTTCTATACTTTCGACGCGCGGCCTGTGCTCTCCCTTCCAATCAGACGCGATCGTCGCTTCTCGTCCTCTCGCCGAACGACTCGTTTCTTCCATGCACCGACGCGCGGACTCGTCTCGCTTTCTCGCCAGCTCGTACGCGCGATCGCGGCACCGTGTTTAGCGTACCTGTTTT